CACGAGGACGGGCATGCGGCATGCGCATGTTTAAAGCCTCCCCCGTCGGAAGGAGAAGGTGTGAAGAGAGCTATGAGATGGAAAGCTTCTTATAATTGAACAGATTGATTTACTAATGAAGAAGAACGCGATGCCGCGAACCTGCGCGTTCGTTCCTTGGTTTGTGCTTTTCGAGACCCATTGGATGTCCCCACACGCCGAAAACGTCGTCCCATTCGGCGGAGCCGGAGAGGACTTTCTGCCCAACGCCACCTCGCCACGGGGAAGCCACGCGTCCATGCGATCCCCGAGCAGTTCGGAAACAGAGTCGGTGGAGCCACAGGAGCGAAACGGAGAACCGAGTCACGAGTCGGTGGAGAGAGGAACCAACGGGTTGGATATGGTTGGTTTATGTTGGTTTTGTTCCTTGCTGTTTATGTCAGGGTGTTGTTGTGTTTCTCTCCCAACCTGTTGACAGTGAATGATGAAAACGTTAGTTGTAGCTGCGAGAGGGTTTGTTCTTGATGCGTCATTCTGCTAGGAATTGAATGGAATGGATTCCTTGCATCACCTTGCATTCTACAAAACAAGGGTCAGAGGATACTTCAGGATTTGTGCAGACTATGTCGATCCGACGATTCCGCTCGCTCCTTGGTCGGAGGCCTCGCTGAATCTCTCCCCGAGCCATGCGCAGCCCTCAGCGTCCTCTCCGGAGCGGTCCGAACCGGAGGAGGCTCCGGTGCGGAGAAGAATCCTGGCAGCATTATCATAGAGATATTATTTACATTTATTTACTATGGTAAATACTTGGGAGAACCCCCCAAGCCTACGAAAGGGATATTTATATTGACTGTATTGATGTTTCATTTGGATTTTCGGAGTCATTTATATACCGTGTAAGTGAGCATGTGGAGCCTGATTCAGTTGGTTCATGTTCCCGAAGCTTACCCGGTAGGAAGCAGCTTCCGGTGAAGTTTCTCCAGCTTAGGAAATCGTTCAGTCCGAGAGCGTGTGGCCTTCAGCGAGGTCCCCGACTGAGATGCTTCACGAGGCGAGGAAGTGCTTCCTCCTTCAGGTCCTCGTGGCCTTCAGATCCATCCGCAGAAGTTGTACATAAAGTGTTTGCGTGTACAGCGTTGTACAGTATTATTCAGTTTCCAGGGCAGACAAGCGATCAATTGGATACTAGCCGTTTAAGGCTTCATCCAGGGCATGTGCTCACGACTGGAGGATGCCGTGAACTCCTGTGGAGCCATAGCAAGCGAGTCAAGCTTGTGCATTGTGAAGCTGTTCTGCGGCTGAGTCGCTGTGCTTGCTCTCCGAAGGGAGGTCAAGCTGTTCCATTTTGCTACAGCTGCTGCAGTGCTGCAGCCTTTTGCCAATGGCTGGGGTGCGCGAATGCCAAAGCTGAGTCACACTAAACTGCAGAAGCAAGCAGCATTCGCAATATGTGATGGTGAGAGTGACAGACTGACAGATGATGACCATTTGTGCGTCCCGGCATTGCAAAGTCAGCACGGTGAAAAATCGCGATGGCATTTGTGGCCAGCTCGCGGCCGACGTGCTATTGCACAATGTGATACATTATGATGCTACCTATTAAACAAAAACTACTAATTCAACAAATATTCAATCTGGTCAAGATTAGCACCCTTCAGCGTAATTCAACACCCATAATGTTCGATCTGCCCCGGTCCAATACTGGCACAAATCCTCGTTGGCACATCGATGCATCATTCAGTTTAAATAAGATTTTGTAGACCATAATAGTCGCCAAACATGAGAGGCCCAAGAATTGGTAAGGCCAGATATTGTGGCAGTATAATGTGGATTTGAATTGACTGAAGTCGCTACGTTGGAATCCTCGTTCTGGTGCTGCTTGTTGCCAATGTGTTTGTCCACCTGGGTCTTTTAATATCGCCAAATTCTTTGAGATTCATTGTCGAGTGGAGGTCATGCTCGTGGCACTCGTGGCATGAAGAATTTGTGCTTTACATGCCGCATTTCGTTGGTTTGGTGGTAGTTCTATGTTTAGCTTGTATACTATGCAATGTGCAGGATGGAGATGATGCTGCCAGTCTCCCTGTCAAAAGTTGCTTGCTCTGCGGGGATCGAAGTGCACCGCTGGGCGCCAGAACCCTAGTGAGCCAGGTGAAGAACACAATGTCTATGGAAGTGATGCAGCCAGAAGCTTAAGAAGATCTGGAAGAAGCTTTAACTTTAGGTGGTATACATAGTGAGGCAGCTGCCTGACATGATACTTATAAATAAATATATATATATATATGTGTGTGTTGCCCACTCATTTCTGAAGGAGGAGACCTTTCCCAAAAGGGAGGAAGAGGCCAAAGAGATCATTGCTCAGGAGCCGAGTCCTCAGGTCGAAACAACCACCCTGCGCGTCGGCGCAAAGAACGCGCACGCGTCGGCTCTATCTCGGTGGTTGGTTTCAGCTGAAAAGGGTCTTATATAGACCATTCTAGACCCCCAAATAGGTAGAAAAGCGACTCCGGGATGAGTCATGCCCGCCAGACAGAGAGAGAGAGGTAGAAAAGCAGATCCCCACTTAATTAAAGTGTATTGGAAACCGTTTCTAAGGGACTTGTATATTTGGGACATTGATAAAGGCACCCTCCAACTAGTCGTTCCCACCTAAGGAAAGACCGTTTGGAAGGCATGGCGGTCCGCATGCGACAACGAGGCCACCGGTGATGGCGGTGCCACCTGAAGCATCCTTCGATTCGGATGGCCAGGTGTCATGGCGCCAGCGGCTGGTGCAGCAAGATCCCTGGTTCGACTGGAAAATGGTTTGAGTTCGACTGGGTGTAGTAGTAGTGACAAGAAATATATGACTAAAGTGTTCATCAAGCAACACGACAAACACACTTAAGTGAACCACACAAAACAGAAAACAACAAGAGCCATTATGCAGTTGCCTTGGGAAGAGGTGAAAATGAGCACTGCAGTGCTGTTTCTTTTTAACTTCATGATCCGCGATGTGAGCGCAGACCAGGCCCGTGAGAGAGTGGCCAAGAAGAAAGAGAAGAAACTGGGTAATGCCTTGGCTCTCAGTGTGTATACTCGTTGTCTTTGTGAGTGATTCAAGTTCATTGCCAAGCTTGTGAAAAGATGGCTTTCGAGGCTTTTGCTGCGGTGAAGGCCACAAGCAGCAAACCTGTAGGTGACTAGACTCTAGAACGCAGGCTAACTGGGCTTCCAGCGTTGAAGTATGCAGACCGGGCATGTTGAAGCTTTTTAGCTCAACCAAGGATGATGTAACAAAAGCATTTGGGCCAGTGCCTGAAAATTGGCATTTGTACATAGCCCTTTTTGAAGCCAGAACAGCTTGTGAAAAGCTCGCAAGCCACCTTGTGTTTTACCTGTTCTATAAGAAGTTCTACTGTACTCTTTCTTTAGTGAATGTGCAGGGTTTGCAGTGCTAGATGTTTTGCACTCATTTCCCATCAGAGGACTCACTTACAGTGCTGCTGATTGGTTCAATATGGATCGTACACTTCTGGAGCCTCTTTGGCTCACTGGTCTCATGCCAGGAATTAAGCCACGACCTCAGGAGCAAGTGTTAATCAAAGTAGTTAATTGGGTCGGTAATTACGTATGGTCATGCTGTATGCAGGGACCAACGTATGCCAGATGTGTTTTTTATTTACGGTACATGTGTAGCTTACATGAATGAGTGTCTCAAGAAGCTTTGGAACACATCCCAAGTGACCGGCAATGTGTTGGTCCAGGCCAACAGGCAAAGCCTTTAGCTACTAGAGCTGGCAGGCCTTTTAAAGCTCGTTTCCCGACCACGAAGAATATAGACAGGGTTTGCAGCGTGGATCCGTTTATAAAGTTGTGTGCATTTATAATATACTGTAGCAGCAAAATCACTTAACAGTTAGCAGAGATTTTTCAATCAAGCCAAAAACCGGAAGCGCCGCCATGGGCTGGCAATTGATTTGGAGGTTTGCAGCCATGTCGGGGGTGGCGCTGAGAGGTTCTTGCATGCAGAACGCATGAGGAAGGAGTTTCACATCGCCTCAACACCCTAAACTTGTGGGAATCCTCGCTTGCACCAACGAAGGCGCTTGCAGACAAGCAGTCGGTGGAGGTCTAGATTCTTTCGCCTTTTGGCTGACAGTGCGTTTGCGCCTTTATGGCAGCAGTGTTGTGTGTGCGGTTGCTGTGACAACAAAAGTAAGCGGCAATCAACATGAATTAATGATGATGATTTGGCCCTTTTCGAAAGCAAAGCTTCATTGGAAGCCTACCGGGATTGAGTTTCATGTTCAATCTATTAGTAGCATCGGCATCACTCAAATTGATTCCTCGAGAAACGGTGTGTCAATCCAGCTCCAACAAGCAGTATCGGATCAGACGAGGGACTGACATTGATCCTGCCTGGAAGGAGATTCAAAGCACTTAGACATAATTCTTAGAATACCAATTAAGTTTGCCCAACTCAGGTGGGACCATCGCCTTCCTGATTTGCTTGACAAGCCACCGGTCGTTTGCACTAGCCAATCGCAGGATGGATGCTGGGAGGGCAACTTACATTGATCAGAGACATACTGAAACATACATTTGACGGCTCAAGGCTTGCATTTGTTACGCCTCGTGCTTGACGGCCAGGACTGTTTGCCCACTGCAGGCTGTGGGATCTGTGGGTGCCTTGGCTGCACTCAGATCATGTGGCATCTGCATCCTTCGCTCGGGTCCAAGCTTCAGACCAAGTCAGGCAGCGATGCTGAAGCAGCTCCTTGGCTGTGAACCTTCTTTAAATTCACAACGTGGGTTGGCATGGCAAGCAGCTGGGTGCTGCACCTTGAAAAGGATTTGATTTGCTCAGCTCTGGTTTCCAAGCTTCCATGGAGTGACGTATAATATAGCTGTTGATCCATATAACTATTATGGACCAAATTGTGCCCAAACGATCAGATGGAGTTGGTTGGAACGTGACAACTGAGGCGACAAAGTTTGCGCTTGGTGTCGAGATGCTAATGGAATCTGCAGCCAAGATGAGCAGTCAAGGGGAACACGAGAAGGCCCGGCCCTTCACGATGTTTGTCGACTTTTTGACAGCACAGGCTTCCCAACCACCCACCTGGAACCTTGTCCAGTCTTTTGCTGCGCGCATCCTGCGCATCAGAGAGCAGCTTTTCGAAGAAATGGAAGATCTTCTTCTTGGCTCAATATCCAGCGATCAGCGATCCAAACCTGCAGAATCCGAATCCAAGTTGTTACTAGTAGATCTAGTAGCTTCTCGTTGCTAGTAGTACAGCCAGGAGCTGCTATATAGTAGCTTCTTGTTCCGTTCGTAGCTTCCTCCTAGTGATCCACAAAGCAGAATCCGAATCCGTGGAATCCGCTCACACCGTGAAAAAAAAAACACGCCCCGGTGTCCTTCAAGGCATTGGGGGCCTTAGCATCTGCTGAAGAGCTCCTGGAAGCCGCCGGATCTCCGGACAACTTGGCCGCAGGGTACTTCATGCAGCGTGGCGCCACCTTCGCCACATGGATCGAAGAGTGCCGGTGGGGAGGCTGTTGGGGAGGCGCTTCAAGGGCTGCAGCTTGCAGATGCTCCAAAGAGATCCATTGCACTGTTCCGCATGCAGCGTGCAACAAAATTCCACTCATGTGGACCAGCCTAGCTCGACATCCTGAGGGCCAACGAAAACTGCCACTTTGGTCGGGGATACCGGACCAAACGCCCTATGTTCATTTGTGGCCAATGGTGCAGAACAAGACCATTCATTTGGAGCATTTTTCCTGGCAGTTTAGTAATGTAAGAAAAGAGCTTGTGAAAACTGACAAAGGAGAAGACTGATGAAGACTAGACAACAACTATATACGTTGATGGTGTTGTGCTTGCGTGCGTTGGTTTGTTTGTTCTCCAGTCTTTTGGATGCTTTGAGTAGGAGCTAATCAAACGATTTGGAGAGAACTTTCATGCACTTGACGACTGTAAAAAGAACGACCCCAAACTACAGTAACTGCGTTCAAGAAATGAGATGCTAGGGTGTGCAAAACCCCAAACAGTGCTGGGCGCACCCCCAAATTGTGTACTCGTCAGAAGAGCGTTGACGCAAAGCCTTCAAAGCATCCAAAAGATATTTGGCCCCTTGGTCATATCATGAAGCAAATTGGTTTGAGTGTGTCGGAATTGTATTAAACTTTCGCAAACCCTCATTTTTATTTAGGAGGTGCAGGGGTCAGGGGTCACGGACGGTCACGGGTCAGTGCAGGAGAGACCACCAGGCTGCTGAGACATGCTGAGACCACAGTTCCTGTGGTAAGTTATGTGTGACATGCCAAAGCCCAAGACGTTTTCCTGCATCTCAAGGCCCATCTGAAGCGATTTGGAGAGACGTTGCAGGAGCGCTCGCTTCAAAGTGGACAAAAGAGAACTTCCTTGCAAAGTGTTTACAGTGCCACCCTCCTCACTGTGAGGAGTTTGGGCGGGCAAGGGACATTTTTAAGAGCCTTGGCAAAGCTGGTGACTGAACAGGGTTTCAATTGCCTGAACTGCAATTTTTTTGACATGGATTCGGTATAGTATGGTGATTGAGCGGAGCACGGTGAACCCAGGAAGCACAATGATATGAAGAACCCGGAAATAGTCACCGTCTCCGGAAATATGGCCATTGCTGCTTCTGCCATTGGCCGGAGAAAGGATGCAATGCTTTTCTTTAATGAGGCAGGGATTGATTTGGGAATGAGAGAATTCCAGTTTGCAGTTCTGCGATGTTCGTGTTTGAATCCCCGCCTTACATAGACAGTAGACATGTAAATTGTGAGGCATGATATGCTGGTTTTGACAGGGACTCCAGGGACCGGCTTGTGCTTGCCGTCCATCCACCGGAAGTTCGCAAAGTTTGATGAAACACATTCTGATCATTTTGTTCACCAGTTGAATTGAACTATTGAGTTTGATGTTTGGAAACTTATTTGTTTCTCCTACTTTGGCTTCACTTGCAGGATCTTGCAGGTGTGTGTGTGTGGCAACACTGGTCTAAAAAGGAACTTGACCACACCAAAGAACCACCCACCATATATAATTCGGTCTCATATGTTGCATTTCCATGTGCAGAGGTTCAGGCTTCAGCGCTCTAAGCTGGTAGCGTAATCACCAGAGTGGAAGATCACAACTGATACAGCTCTTGCGAGCATTGATCTAAGTGTGCGTGTGCTTTTTGTAGTCCCAAGCTGGAAGACTTCCACAGAATTGTCAGCCTGACGCATTAGGCCAGCGAAATCCTTGATGCCCTTGGTGATGATCAAATGAAAGCATATATCCTCAGTAGCATGGGAGCAGCTTGCGTTGGAGCAGGACAGCCCGTTCAGTACTTTGCCAGGTTGCTATGTCCTTGACGGAAAACAGAGAAAAACAACAATTCATGTCATGAAAAATGTGACCCGTGCAGTGCATCAAAGTGTCGCGGAGAGTGTTCACCGTATATGTCCGCAGGGAATGTGCTGCACAATTGAGCACCAAGAAACATTTAAACAAATTAAAGATGTGAGTTTGCACTGTGAGTTCTTGACACACAGCAAGCGTGTGCAAGGAGCCTTCGAACAGGGGTTCTCGCATATGAAGCAAGCACAGAAGGTGGCAGTGGCAGGGCAAACAATTTGCAAACATAGTCAATGGACGTTCACTACGATCAGGCAAAATGTCAGCAGGCTTTGCAAAAAGTTGACTGCACAGAAACGTACTGAGACGATCAGGGTGTTTTTTATACCTCATGTAAGTCATGTAAGGTGTGAACCGCACTGTATCGTTTCGATTGATGTTTTTGATTTGACTTGGGAAGGTTGTCAGGATTGTTTCCATCAACAGACGTTCAAAACAGAGTTCCATGATTTGACCCCGCTCTCTTCGGGGCTTCCCTACCGCACTGCCTTCACCATCCCACACGACGTGAGTGCTGGAAGTCACACAAACGCTGTTGGAAATCAGTTTCGTCACTTCATGTTTCGAACAAAGTCCATCATGCTTCATGAAACATCAGGCAGTAAACAAATGACAAGTTCGATGGGTGACATCGTGCTAAACCAAGGCGCTGCTCAAAGCTGGTTTGGGTGACACCCCAGAAGGAGCACTGCTTTTGTCTCAAATGGGATCCATCCTCTACCAGATGGCAATCTATTCTCAGGCGAACTGCAGCAGTTTGCAGTCTAGGGAACACTGGGGCCTTCCGGCCTTCCTTCTACAGTTTTGGAGATTCATGTGGGACTCGGGGCAAGCCGGGCAAGCCTACAGCCTAGACATGTTTGACTGTACAAAGCACTACTTATCATTACTTTGTGCCCATGTGGTCGATGTTCTTTTGCTAAAAATGTGGTGGCACTGCGGGACTTTCATGATTCTTGACATAGAATGGCTTTGAGAGTTCAATGTGCATTTGTAGGCCAGCCTGCATTTTGACTTTGCACGCGACCGTTATTTCAAGAACGGTGATTTGGTGCAGACGGTGTGGATGTGGTATTTGAGCTGCTTGGCAAGAAGATAGTTGTGGTTTCTACCGCTCCCTTCAACCTTTTTATTTGTTAAAGCTGCGTCGCCCTTGCAATGCGAGACGAGGGCAAAATCCGCCGGTACTTTCTTTTTGCCAAGGCAACTTGAGTAGCTTCAGGGGGTGGCTTTGGGATACTGAGCAGTCCCTCTATCAATAAGCATTCCAAAGAAGAATGCTTCTAGGCTTTGACGCACCATCGGAATTGACGCTTTGAGCCCAAAATGGCCCACAATGGTTTCCATGGGGGCTCACGGAGGTATACTTTGAAGATGCCAAGCCATTTAAAATGGGTAGGGCTGATGCCGCCAAGTTCCGAAGGGCTTTCGCTATTGGCCTTAGCAGCTCATTGAATTCCACACATTATTGAGAATTTCTGATAGCTAGGGAGATAAGCTTCGTGTCGTCGGATGTTGATAGATAAGTGCCACGCTAGTTACTGTAGTTGTGATATCGCGTGGTTGTTTATGCACAAGTGCACGAGTTTTCCTATGCTGCTCAAAGCTTCCGAGGCTCAAGTGCCAAACAAGGGCAACACATACATTGATAATTGATTACATCAAATAGTAAACAAGGGCAGTATTTTGTCTCAGGTCACCAGAGCAAGAAGACATCTAGAAATTAGTCAGATACGTCCGCAAGAAAAGATAGTTGCGTAATGTTAAGTAAGATCAGGTTTGTGGCCAGGCTTTATGCTTGCCGCGGTGCCAGGGTAACCCCAGCACAACCTTGTTTTCTTATGTCGACAGGGTGTTTGGAACATTGGAACATGCAGGGTAGTAGCCCCTGTTCTACCTTTGCTCCATGAGGGCTTGCAGTGTTTGTTTGACCAGGCACTTGGCAAAAGCATGGAAAGGCCGCAAAAACACGCGTGAATAATGCATTCATGGCCATCATGGCCTTTGGCATAGGTCTAGTGGAATGAGTGTGCGGCTTTCCGCCTGGAGCTGGCCACCATGGAGGTGACACATTTGCTGCAATATAGGGACCATTTGGGACGTTGCCAAGCACATGGATCCGTCATGCAATGCCAGGAATGGGATCCCTTTGCAGATCCGGCAGACACTGGATCGGAGATCGCTCAATGCATCCAGGACTTGCAGTTTTGCTTGTTCTCCCCTTCGGGGAGCCCACTTGCAGGTAAACATCGTGACACGGAAGCATGTTGCTATGCATCAACACCTGTGAATAGAAGGCAATGAAGGCGGAAGATGGCTCTTTTGGAGCAGCCATCCCATCAGCGGGTGACAACCAAAATCTACGCAGGCCTTGTAAGAAGTTCCACGGCAGCTTTCAAACCGGGTTTTGAAAAGGGAAGACCCCGAGTGGGTGGGTGTTCATTGTGCAATTCAACTTGTCGTGTTAGCTGAGGCACGCACATTTTCAAGAATGCAATTTTCCTTGTTTGCTTTCTGTGTGTTACCAGGATTCGGATGCCAACTCCATTTTCAGCACGAGGCCCTTTGTCCGGCTGGCCCTTTCAAGTGTGTGCTGCGTAGTAGTCAGTCTTAAGTCTTAAGAAACTTCTCCTGCAATGGTTCAAACCAGTGGCTGAACCATCCCTGTGTGTCATGACTGCGAACATGGAGGTGACCATTTTGCGCTTCTCCCGGCACAATGAGGCTTGGAGGACACAAGTCCTTTGCTCGCCAGTGGCGAAAAGTGCTCAAAGTCGGGGAGTCGATATTGAACCCACCTGGGCGAATGGTGCCAAGATCATGGTCGGAGGCATGAAAGTTGCGGACTTCATCCGACTTCGCCTTGAGCTGAAGCCGTGGCACGTGATTTTGCTGAAAGAGGATGTTGAAGACCTCTTGGGGTGGCTTCAGGAAAACCTCCCATGCAGACAACGCCCAAGAGCTCAGGAGGTAGCCCTAGAAGAGGACATTCCAATCTACACCGTGGAGCGAACTTTTATCCACACAGGAGTCCACACACCGATGGTTGGAATAGCTCCACGCAGTTCTTCTGCCTTGACCAGCTCTACATCAGGCCATGCGAATCCTAGGCGTTGGAGGCCAAGCTTGCCCAGCGGGAGTGCAACGGTTGGGAGTCAAGGGCTTGGTGCCCACAAAACTCTTGAAGATCATGCCGATGACATGAAGCAGCTACAGCGGAAACGTGACATTCATGGAGTGCTCCAGGTTTTTTCGAAGATCAAAGCGGAATGTCTAGTGCCAGATGTGTACTGCTACAACATTGTCATCAATACATTTGGCAAACTTCAGCAACTGGATGATGCAGAAAGATGGTTCCACGACATGGAATCTAGTGGCGTTCCAGCAGATGAGAAGACCTTTTGTGTTTTGATGGATGCCTACGGCATTGCCAAGGATACGGAGCGGGCTGAATGGTGCATGCATGAAATGCACGGAAGAGGCATGACCCCAACTTTGAGCCATTTCAATGTCCTGATTAGTGCCTTTGCCACCCGTGCCGCTCAAAAGTATCAAGGGGACACTCAAAAGTGGTGCGAGCAAGCCGAACAGTGTTTCGATAATTTAACAAGGTCAGGCTTGCAGCCATCAGAGCATACCTTTGGTGCTCTCATCGACATGTACGCTCAAATGGGCGAGCCTCTGAAGGCAGAAGAGAAACTACGCCTCAAGATTGAAGAAGGTCTTAAGCTGAGCGACAAGGACTGCAGTATGATGATGAATGCATATGCCAATGCTTCTGATTTGCCCGGGGCATTGAGATGGCACAAGAAAGTGAAGGAGCTATCAACTGCTTTGCATGCCCGTGACTTCACTCCGTTGCTGAAGGCTTGTGCCAAGGCCAAGCGACCGGATCTTGCCTGTGACATCTTCCGACAGGTAGTCGAGAGCAGAGTAAAGCCCGATCACTTCCAAATCGTGACGTTGATCGGGGCCACAGGCAAAAATACAGCTCTGAAGCTTTGCAATGAGCTGGGCGTCAACACTGAACAGGCAAAGAGGGAATTTGATGCAATCGGGGATGAGCATAATTTCAGCCCAACGCAGCTTAATCGAAAGTTGTGGAAACTTGAATTGGAGACATAAGCCCATTGTACAGCACAAGAAAGGGCCTTAGTGGTAGATGATGTGTCCTTGCACAGAAATCGCCTCAGTTTGCTCGCCTTATTGTCTTGGCTCTTGTCGGCAGAATGCCCACGTGGGTTTAGACAGCTAAGCGCCTGACCAGCTGAGGCTCCCAAGCCGCTTTCGAACACAACAAGCGCTGAGATGGAATCGTATACCGTATTATATTATACTATGTTACTTACTATATAATATGATTAATTACATTATACTATATTCATGCAATGGAGGTTGCAGCCATTCTCCAGCTTTCTTTGAACGAAAGCAGTGAACTCTTGTCTCCCAGCATTTGGTTGAGCGATTGGCGCGCTTCCACGTCGATGTGTCCACAGCCCGGTTCGCTGTCGTTTGTCAGACGAGCGCAGGTGGACCGACGAGGCGGTGGTGTGACAGCGACGGTTCGTTGTTTTGAGTTGCAATAGGGTCAAATGCCACCATTGGCAGCTCTTTATAGTATTCTTGGAGCTGTGAGAGCTGTGAGAGTGTGAGAGTGAAGTGCACAAATGCATCACAAAGGCATTTTCATGTCGCATTGTTTGGCATCTTGGCGGGAGGTGAAAGACAATGCAATTGTGGCAGCCTTGTTGGAGACCTGGTGACTGGCAATTGCGCAACATACACCTCAGGGCGAAAGCTAGAAAGGGTGATGGGTGGTCATACAGTTGGCAGCGGCAACCCTGGAATCGATCAGAGAAGATTGTGTATAGACTATAGGCTATAGACATACATAGTATACAGACATGGTTCCACACCACACCACAATCATTTGCGCTCTCCCCGCGGCCTCGCAAGCATCTGATCGAAGGGCCACTAGCCGTTTGGCCATTTGAGCAAACCAAGGCTGGGTTCTCCTGGCGGTGATCCGATACTCAGAAGCTCGGCAACTCTGTTCACCCAATCAACGAAGTTGTTTGCCTTTGTGCTTGTCTATCTACCATTCCAAGATTGCATGCCAAGCGATGAAGGTCAGGAAGAAGAATCACCACGTCATGAAGAAGGCTCGGGAGTGTAAATTGAACGTGTGTCAATGCTGTGGATTTATGTGTATATATATATACATAGCATATGTATATTACATATATATATATATTATATATATATATTGTATTATATAAATATACTGTGTAAGTGTATGTTTCATGATGCTTATAGATGCGTCGCCTGGATTCTGGATCCTCATTTTTGCCACCTGCAGGGCACAAGATCCATGGCATGCCTGACAAACCTAGAGATGAGAAGAGGTTCATCCAAGTTGGAGAGTGCAGGCGTGGTCAGCGGGGGAAGACGTGCTCACATCCTGAAACTCATTGGGTCGTCCCGCAAGACAGAAGTTGGAAGCCTATCCAACGTTTGGAGCAACGATTGTCAGGCAGCTGGCCGGAGAGGAGCCAAAAGTGGTGAATGGCGGGCATCTCAGGTGGCCACAAGATGTCCGCACTTGATTTTACGGTGCCCAAGGGCACCTGTATCCTTTGCCACCCTGATGGACTAGTCTTCTTGTTCCTAATGTTGACCTCTCTCTGATTAATAAACAGGGGTGGCAAATCTTGAAATTTTGGTCGGCCCTAAATAAAGTTCATTTCAGGTTCCAAGAAATATGTTTAATTAGACATGAAATTATCCCTTATTAAAATCAATAGTAAAATAAAGGGAATTAAGTAATTAGTAGTCATTCAAATTAGAACTAAGTTTAAATTCAATTGATTGAATTAAAAAGGAATGAAAAGGAAAAGAATCGGTTAACAAAGGAATGACAAGAACTAATTAAACAACACAAATTCAATCAAGTGTTTTTCAGTACACAAAGTTATTTAGCTCTATTTAGGGTAAACTCTATTTAGGGTTTGGTCCGTTTGGTGGCTTCATGGGGAGAACCCTTTCCAGAATCATTGTGATCAATGTTCAAGTTCAATAATTTTTCAATAATGGATGTATAAAGAATTGTTGTCAGGAGGTTTTGTGGTTTGATGATGAAGGATTTAGTTGAGAAGGAATCCAAAGAAGCAATCTGTGAACAGGGGAATTAATATAACCTATTAAACACAAATTCAAACATTTCTTTCAGTGACAAAATTCTTTAGTTTTATTTAGGTTAAGCTTGATTTAGGGTTTGGTGGCTTCATGGGAAGAACCCTTTCCAGAATCGTTGTGATCAATCGTCAATGGTTTTTGAATAATGGATTTATAACGAGTTGTTGTCAGAAGGTTTTGTGGTTTGATGATGAAGGATTTAGTTGAGACGGAATCCAAAGAAGCAACCTGTTAACAACGGAATCAATAGAACCAATTAAACACAAATTCAATCAAGTATTTTTAGTACACAAAAGTGTTTAGCTATATTTATATAGGGTACATATATGTAGGGTTTGGTGGCTTCATCTGCTTTATATATACATATGTTTGTGTTTTAAAACAGTTTTTTAACATATAGTTATAGATTATGTTTGTAAAACATTTGTTTAATACATATTTTGAACATGCTTTTATTTCTTAATATATGTTTTTTTTGCAGTATATACATGTTTGTGTTGTTCATTTTCTTTGTTTAAAATATGTTCTTTTTAATATGTTTTTGTTTTTAACGTGCTAACTTTATTTCGGATCCCTGTATTAATCAGGGCGGCGGCAACTTGGCTAACTTTATTTCGGATCCCTTTATTAATCAGGGCGGCGGCAACTTGGCTAACATTATTTCGGATCCCTTTATGATTCAAAGGTCGACATTAGTAGCGATGGCCTCCAACCTACTTGCGAAGGCCTCCACCGAGCAAAGCGTCCTTGTTCCTGCACTAGTGACTAATGTCCATTCCTCATCATTCCTCAACAGCAAGAATCTCATCCAAGGATCCAGTCCCAATCCCTGCCGTGTGGCAGCGGAGAGGCGCGTTGAAGCCTTGGGAAGGGAAGGAAAAAGGAAGAAAAAGGTCTATAGGCTTAGGTAACGAGCTAAAGCAAAAAACATTAACATGAGAAACAAGGGCGTGTTTTCGTATACTTGTTGTTTGTTGCTTTTTGTTCTGGATCTTTTTGGAGCGCTCACTCTCACCGTCCGGGTCGCAGGCCGGTCTATCGCAACAAGGGCGTGGGCAAAGGGAAGCACGGAGGCTCGAAGTGTGGCATGGGCATACTGTCGGCGGTTGATTATTTGATTATACAATAAACCTCCACTACCTCACTACCTGGATGAGTACCAGGTTATACTGTAAACATCTTCATGCCGGAGGTTTGTGTTTTTTCAATCAACAGTACCACTGTAGTTTCGGGGTTTCTGGGGGGGGGTCATTCATTAGGTCTCATTCAGATGGTTTGATTGGGCAGTTAGCCCCTTTTTGTTCTTGAGACTTTGGCCTACTGATGCGTTGGACAGCAGAGTGGTCAATCAACCCCAAAGATGCGACGCTGCCATAGGCTGCACCGTTGCTGTAGGCACCATGTCCTCAAAGGGCTGCATTCAGCCACTCAAAAGTGCTAAGAAAAACCATGCCAATCATCGTGATTGACAGAACCAAAACTGCGGGGTCGAGTACTTGACACTACAAACCCGAGCAAAATGCAAGTGACATCAAATGACATGAACTTGCTCCTGAAGCCATGCGCCAGTAACCATTTGTAACCCCTTGTGCTGTTTGCCGATGTTTTTGGTGTTGAGCTGCCAAGATGTTTCCTGGTTCAGCCTAGCATTCAATCATGACTCTGAACAGGAAATCTTAGGTGCCCGCATGTTGTGGACACAAGAACTCCTTCTGAAGTTGCAGAACGATTCCATGCAACTATTTGTCTCCCGCATTGTTTGCATTGCCTCGGAGGCAAGAATGCAGGAGCGCAATGCAAGTGCAAGTGCTACTCCGTGAAGACGCCACAGCTGTGGCTCCATTGGATCCAGTCATTCACACCGACTCATACCCACATGTGAACGCCGACGGGTCGTGATGAACTTTGGATCTCTCTCTCTCTCTCTCTGTACATAGATTGATAGGACATGCTCAGATGAGCCACCAGCTCGCACCGCTTTTGCCACTTGGGCAGGACATGCTGCCTGGCTGCTGGGTTTGGATGAGCCTCCTGAACCGCTGCGGGAGCCAATGCATCCGCCAACAGAGCCAGCTGAGCAAGCCGAATTACCTGCGCCGGAGCCGGTGTCCAAACCAGAGCAGGTGTCCGTGACCCAAGGCGCGATACAGAATAAACCGGCAACATCAAGAAATTGTTTATATATTCAGCAGCCAGGAATCCACCAACTGCGACTTGTCTCATCACGTCGTTCTGTTTGGTCGCTTGTTTCGACCCTGCAGGGCATGGGGATGAAACAGGTGCGTTGTCCACGCAACCGCACAGGTCGACAGCATGAAGAGAGTGCGGTGGAATCGCGCACTGAAGAGTCCAGTGTGGAGTCCAAGGACTTGTTGCATGTGGTGCATGTGGAGTAGGTACCACGAAGAATCATTCCGAAGCTTGGCAAGTCTCTATTGACTGGGGCCCTCAAGCCAAGGGTGTCGGCCCGCCAATTGTGAGCCGTGGACCTTATATTATTCGTTTGCCACAGAGAGGGAGGGAGGGAGGGAGGGAGACAAACACAAACAATGGTCAGTGTGGATCGCACCATCATGGCCGTGGAAGCAGCATAGTTTACAAACACATCAGGGACTGGGCCACTTCCTTACCGATGCCATGTGAATTCTCCAGGAGCATGAAGAGACGCGGATGATTTGCGAGATTGATCCTGCAGAGATTGTAGCGTGGCGGGTCCCATGGCAGCATTTGGCATGCGCTGAATACTGCATTTTTGAGCCAGGACTTTTGGTACCAAGCTTGCCATGTTTCATGGCATGTCTCCTGGCCGTAACGTCGCCTCCCTGGGTCAAGAATCTGATAGGATTTACCCCGGTGCATGTGGTCCGGAAACGGCGGGCGCTCTGCAGCACAGAGCCATGGGGAATTGCGGCCTCGTATGGGGAGATGAAGATGATGAGGTGACTCAGGCCTCAGCAACAAATCATTCTGTCTTCTTTGACGTCAATGGACTAGAATTGTCATTCTCCATTTTCTCCCACCTTAGGTCACAGTATTCCGAACTAGCTAAAACCTTTGATCATTGCAAGGAATGCTTCTTTCTTATTTGTGTCCCGTCTCTTGCATGAGTCAGGTCACAGTTGCATCATA